CATGTTACTGATTAGAACATTTCATGTTTTAAAAATTTCCCACGGTTTGTAATATATTGCTATTATTATTATGTTAAATATATATACATGAAAGTTATATATATGTGTGGGAATATGAATAGAGTGAGTTTATGAGCAAGTTGTTAAATACTAAATTTACCTTTTGGAGGATTTATGAGTGAGATAAGTGGTAATTGCCAAAGTAGTCTATTTATTGATACTCATAAATTTCTCTGTCATCTATTTGAGAAATTTATTTCTTATCTGTATTTTACCGAAAAAGGGGTTCTTGTGTACTTTATATAGTGGAACCTTGGATAGCGTACTGCTAAGGTAATTTTTCACCTCAAAGGAGTTGAATTATCTTAAAGTTGGGTGTTATTGTTGATTGTGTTTTATTTAGAGGTTTAATTGTTTATTGCATTTTCCCACCTAAAGGTAAGTTTGCAATATTACAACTTGAGATCTCGTGAGAGAATAATGTGATGGTGATATTTATGACTTATTCTTGTTTTATTTATGCCCATCGGTGCATATTTTTTAAATAAAGTTTCATATATTGTGATGTTGTTTTACATATATGGTTTTGTATATATTTCACAATATATTGTTAATTGTTAACAATGATTCTTTGACTATGCTTGCTGGTTTAAGTTGGTAATGTAGATTTGATATTTCTTGTGAGTTATCTTTTTCATTATTAATCAGTTGTGATTGGCATTGAAGTCATGGCATTGATGAGTAGAACTCCTAAGGCTATTAGAACAACCCATCAAAGAGAAAAGGTGAACTGGATGATCAGGACTCTTTGTGGTTATAAGTTTGAACCAAATGGACGTGAACCCAAGTTAGTCCAATTAGTGTATCATTTTATTCATGTGAATGAAAAAGACACAGGATATTGTTTGGGAAGTAGGATTAATTAAAGATGAGTTAAAGATCAATGTTCTTAAGGAGACTCTCAATTACCCTAGTCTTGTTGGTTTGCTTGATTTGTTTGGGAAAAAGCTGAAAGATCAAAGCTCTAAAGTCATTAATAATGTTTATAAATGCTTAGTTATCCAATTCATCAAGAAGTACATAAATTGGGGTGCCAGGAAGACGGTCGGTGCTTCTATTGGATTCTCGACTCATAAAGGTCATCATAAGAGTTTTGGTGTTCCCTTGCCTATGATAGATTACAAATTAGATAATGACCTTAGAATAAGGCTTATTAGATCCTTCCCAATTCATAAGAAGTGGCTTTTTGATTGATGATATCTATGACAGTTGGATATTAGAATTTTGGATAGGGTTATAAAATTGTGAAATTTTTTTTTTTTTTTTATTAGTCTAGTCCTTTTTTAGTTTTATAAAGAATAAATATGCTTGTAAGGTGAATAATTTCAATTTGTTGAAATTGAAATCCTTGAATAAAATGGTGTACATTTCCTTTTATTTTGTTTGAAGGAAGGTTATCTGTAGTGCCTAATTTGTTTATCTCCTTCTTTGATGCACTACATATAGTCGAATATCTCTTCCTTGACTACCTCTACATTTGTTCAAGAAAATATGAATTTTCCTCCTTTTGTTCATCTTGGTCATTAAAAGATGAAGATTTTCTTCATGCTTGTTTTAGCAATGTTGAAACCATGTATTAATGGAGTTAAAAATTGTCAAGATTAAAAATTTTCCGCATATAAAAGTTTTCTTTTTCTAAAACTTTAGATTAGTCTTGACAATTTTTTTATCTCATTTAAGGGGAAAGTATTTGCTGTATTGTTTTTTCTTTATACCATGTTCATATGCGAGTCTTGAAAAGTTTCGAAAGATTTCTTTAAAGCCTTAATTGAAGTTTTAAAAATCTATAAAGAAATTTTGAGGTAACAAGTACTGTGACGTATATGAAACTATTTATTATATAGTTGGTTACAAAAGGTTTTGTTATTCCTTGTACACCTAAATAGAATGGGATGGCTGAAAGTCATAATTGCACTATTGTTGATTTGTATTCTATGAATTGTAATTGCTCATGGTAGCTTGTGTTTTCTCTTATTAAAGTTATACTCATTGGTTATAGATGAGTGTTTTAGCTAAAAGGGATTAAAAATATTAAATTGTTATATGGCTAGATTACTAGCTATGAGCTTCACATAAGGAGTATATTTTTCAGAGAAATGTTTGTCCTCTTATGTATTGTGCTCTCATGTTTTTTAAGATTAGTGGGAGGAATTTTTTTTTAAATTTCTTTTGTGTGACTATATTGGATAGATTTGCTTTAAACTAGATATAGTTCATTGAGTGGTATTAAAGAAACTTATGAGTTTTATTATAAAAGACTATTTGTTTTATGCTCACATGCTATATTTCTAATCTCTTTAGAGGTAATTAGAAATTTTGAGTTGGATGAATCAAATGTCTTAATGTTAATGAGTTTTAGTATATGTTTTAAATGACATTTGGGGCTATTTAGGATAAATTCTTGAAGTGTTGTTTATATTTTATGTCCTAAAAGAAATATGGTCAAGAATTATGATTATGGTTGAATACATGCTACAGTGTTTGTTATGGCTAATTCATTAATCAAAGGGTTAAACCTGTTAATTACTATATACATGTGATAACATGCGTTTTGAGTTTTGATGCACTTGGTTAGTGGGAGTTTTCTTCAGTCTAATACAAGATATCATTTGTATTTGTAATAAATTGGATTTCATATATGTATTTGTATTGTTATTATATAATGTCACATATATATGAAGGGTATTTTACATTGTGACAGGCTGAACTAAAGATTATTGACCTCATCGTTCACATGAGTTGTTAGCTTGTTTTCTTGTATGGAAGTGTTTTGTTGTCACTTTGAATGCATATGGTTTTGTTTTCATGATAAGTGACTGTGACAGTTTAATATTAACATTTGAGGATTGTTGTAGAGTACACTAGTTCTAGATTTATGTTGACTAACCCCTCAACTAGAGGACTAAAACCTGTTTTTCTTTTAAACATCATGTATTGAACATGGTTGTTATAGGGTCTTTTGATGTGCCAGGTTAGCAGGAGTTTTTTGTAAAGTAGTTAACTTAATGACATTTATTTTCAATTAAGTTAACGTATTATGATCATGATCATTGTGTCAAGTATACCTGTTTGTATATATACATATGCGCATATGGTATGGTGGACAACATAATACAGCATTGTGTCTCAAGAATAAGGTTTCTCTTGAGAATGACAGTTGTATAAGTATGTTTCATATTTGTATCTCGAGATAATTGGTTGAAACATACTAGCTTCACTGGGGGTTGTAGATTTCTCTAGCTTTTCTCATAAGCATAAAGATTGTAGATAGATCATAAAGAGGACTGATAGGGGAATAACACATGTTTTGTTTTGATCACTTGTTGAGTGATATCCCTGCCACACTCCCAGATTACGAATCTATGAGATTTGGTTATTAGTAATTGTAGTCATGGATTGATCTTATGTCGATATAAGATGTAAAGATTGTCTTGGTTCATTATTGATAATCATATTAACAGGATTGTTGGTCGAAGTGCTATCTCTGGACTATTTGTTTTCTTGAAGTAATGACCACTTTAAAATTAAAATGTTTGTTTGCTCAGGAGTCAAAAATCATTTTCTTTTATTAAAAACAAACTAAATTCATGTTGCCCAAGTGGGAGAATGTTAAAAAATTTCAATTGTAGGCTAACATGAATTATATTTTGATTTAATCAAAACTGGGCAAATATATAGTTCGATGAGATATCCTAATGGGCTTAAGTGATCATTTCAGAATTTGTCCATAACACTTCCATTATCAATAATCTGGGTTTTATTACTAGTGTGTGCTTGGAGCTGTAATGAGCTTCAAAGTTTATTAAGCCTTTTATGGGCGGCTCAATAGACTACTATAAATTGACTATGTCTCATTTCCAAACGAAATTGACACAACTTAACTCATTTGTTAGTCTTGATAAAGTGTACGTTATTGGGAATTAAAGGAATAATAATACTTGGCGTACTAACGGGTTTTACTAACCAGTATACTAACCTTTGTTAAAATCACACATAGTATCCATACTATGCGTATGGTACCCGTACTATGCTTTAGTTAGTACACAGATTAGTACCCATCCGTTAATACTCATAGCATCACTCTTAAAGGAATGCCTACGCTCTCTATAACTGGGAAAGGAAAAACCGCCGCTTCTCAAGATTCATAAACAATAATCTAATCTGGTTTCTCTTAAATTCTTAATGATTAATTCACTGTTCAATAATTTGTGTTAAGATTTTGGGATATCGATCATAAAGATTGATTTCAGTCATAAGGTTGATTTATTATTGATTGATTGGTTTTTCTAACAAAGAGTAGAAGATGAAGACATTGTTACTCATCCCTTTCAAAGTGGCTGCTATGTAGATTACGTTTAAGCCAACATTGGAGCACTCTATACTAACCATGGCGATGAAGATTTATATTTCCTTGAAAAGGTTTCTCCTGTTCATCTTCCTTTTCTTCCTCTTCTTAATTCTCTGATCTATGCGAAAAGCTTAGTTTTCCATCCGCATCTATGGAAGTATAAAAGAAAAGTATCTCTCCCTTAATCACGGACGGACCTACATTGAGGCCGAGTCGGGGCTGCTGACCCCACTTACCTCATGTAGTAGTGTGTTTATTTAAGTTTATTCTTATGCTTCTTTAGTTTAGTTTCTTCAAATTCTTTTTAATTTTAACGTTAATCAGCTTCTCATTACTAATTAGTTTCCCTCCTATTATGTCCATATTTAAATACGTTAAAATCAATTATAATTGTTAACTTTCATACATAATTAATATGTTTATATTACTATTGATTTATTATCAGTAAATACATTTATAAACATTTCAAATAGTCTATGAAATTAGAAAAAAGATTAATAGATAAATGATGTATAACTTCTTTTAATAAATAGATAAAGAAAACAATAACTAAGAATACTTATATTATATTCAATTCAATGTTGAAACCTAGCATTTTTTTAATTCATAAAATACCATGATTATATCTTTCAGTTTTGTACATATTATTTTTGTAGTTTAATAGGCCTCTCTTGTTTCTTCAGCTTTAATGCTCTGCAACAGAGGGGTCTTACTCTTACTATCAATTGCAACAATACTAGAGTCCTCCTCATTCTTCCCTTCACTGGCCTTTCCCCATAATACACCATAAAATCCTACACATATTATTACTCCTCCAACAACGCTGCAATTAAATATTATATACCACAGTTAAACACAAATTTACATGAATCCACATTAATTAAACTAAAGAATGATGTTTAATTAATCGTATTACCTGCCAAGATAGAGAGCATCACCGAGGAAAATGAAGCCCATAACAGCTACAATGGCGATTGACAATGGCTTGAAACTTGTAACGTATATTGGCCCCTTAATGCGCAAGCCCCATGTATGAACAACACTGCCCAGTGATGATCCCAATAATCCCTGCATCACATACACAAGATTTTCTAATTACAGGTTTAAATTACCGAGTCTGTCTGCAGTATTTGTGTAGACTGTAGTCTATTAGATACTTACCGAGTATATAATCGCAACTAGTGCTATATCATAACTTAGTCTCCAGGCAGTCAAATTTGTTTCTGCCATGAAACATATTATTGCAGATACGATGGTTGAGCTCAGGTTGCAGAGGAGCACTACTTCTAACTCCGATGGGTACATCTTAATCACTTCCGTCTGTTATGTTCATGAAATTTATACTGAATGATAATACTAAACGTACAAATTTAGTATATAAACCGATGTGATACAATTGAATAAAAGCAGGTACAATAAATAAAGAATCACATTATATATATATAAGCAATTTACCTGGATAATGTACCAGAACGAAGAAAGGAGGTATTCAACAGCAAGCAAAAGGCCGCCGATAACCCAGTTTGATTGTGAGGAGGCGAGAGACCATTGAAGTGAAACTGGATGCGTCGAAGATGAAGATAAAAGCATTGGGCCTTTATAAAGAACCACCACCAGTGCCCCTGATATTGATACTATGGTGCCAATGATTTTTGCTTGAGTGCTTGCATTCCTTAAAATTAGCTTTTCCATCCTTTTTGGGTCATTTAAATAAGAAAAAGATTGAAGATGGCCACCAAGAAGAAAGGAACTTGCCAGTAAGTACTCGAAGCAGTACCCCTGGATCCACTTCATGAACAACCAAGATAAAACTTGAAATACCAATATATATGTGTGTGTGTGTGTGTGTGTAGGGCTTCTTATTTGCCACGGTGGAAGTCAACTTTGTTGTTAGGAGCCAAACAAGTAGTGCGACGTCCTTTTGGATAAACCCATATGCATATTGTGTTTTGGCTATCACACTTCACATGCTCAGCTTTCTCTTTTCTCTCTCTTTACCTCAAAAGTTCACGACTCCAAAGAATCTTCGAGATTGTTATTCATTTTACGATTATGAAGAAATCAAAGACAGGTGGATGCTGATCAAGGAAGGTGCATGTGTATTTAACATCGATTGATGAAGAAGAAAGGAAAGGGGTCTCATATTGGTGAAAACTTAGGGTTTTGGAATTGGGTGTGTTCTTTCCCTTTTTGTAAAGTTTTCTTCTCTGGTTTGTTTATTACTCAGTACATTTTGGTTATTAATGAGAATACCCTGCTGTGAGCCTTGGAAAGTGGATGTAGGCTACAAAGCCGAACCACTATAATTGTTGTGTCTTGTGTTTTTTGCTGATTCTCTTTATTTGTTCATAATTCTATTGATTGATTCCCTAAATTAATAGTTATATTTATTCAATTAGAGTTAGTTAATAAACCCTAGATTTCGAACAATATATATAATTGTCTATTTTATAGTTAATATATTGTTTCGATCACCAGACACATGACACATTACTAGAAAACTGATTTTTCTCAACGGTTCAATTTAGCTTCGCATATTTACATTACGTTCGACTGTTTTGAGGGACAATGGATTCAATTGCAACAAGAAAGGACAAAGGAGGCGAGTGGCGACGTTATGGATGTTTCATTTTTGAGGCTTACTCTGTCTTATTTTTTAATGTATAATTATGTTTGTTAAAGTTGTTAATATTTAATTGAAATTAACTTTTTGTATATTTTAAAAGGTTCTATACATTTTATGTATTAATTTATCAAGAATTATTGATAAATTTTGAATTGTCAAGAAAGAACATTTTTCTAGTAGTGTAACAAGTTTGTGATCTGGTTTTTCTTCTTTTCAAATAAAATAAAAATGGCTCTTGTTTGCTCATTTTTACTTGAAAAGAAAAGAGAAATTGTTAAATGTAGGCTATGCTGCAAAAGCATAACTCATACGATGCAAAAAAGCTTGCACCATATTTTTCGTCTTTTTTTATTTTAATTTTGTATTTAAAGCTTGATATATCGAGTTAATGATTTTAGGTCAATATTTTTATCACAAATCACGGCATTTTTTGCTTTTATAATTACAACTAACCAAAATTTCAATCCAGAAAACTTATCAGCTACCATTTATTTGTCCGCAATTCAACATTTTACACATGCAGGCTTAGCTATGACATGACCTAGAATTTAATATATTGTTTGATCAACAATCAGAGAGATCATATATCCTTGTTACAATCGCTAAATAAATTAAGTACCCACTTATAATTGTCAAATTAAGATTAACCACTTTTGCTATTCAATAATATATTTTAGTCAGTGGGGTGGTAAGCAATTATAATCACACACTTGTCCACTTCGTCAACAGTATATTCTACACTACAAGAAAATTAATTAAATAATTAAATTGAAGAGAAGAAAAAAAACATGAAACCTGAAAATGACAGCAAGTGTGAAGGTGAAAGCAGCAGTGAGGTTGCTCATTGCTGAAGCAAGAGTCGGAGAGCTATAAGCTATTCCCTTATAGCCAATTAGCTGAGCTGAAGACCTGCCTTCCAAAACATTAAAACTCTTTCATTTTAACCTTACAAATTATAAAAAGATTAAAGAAAATTTCTGTAGGAAAAATACCCGATAAGACCCAGCAAGAATATTCTGGAGATGAGAGGGAACTTGACTGATGGAAGCACCGTTGAAGCACTCCTGCAATAGAGATGGAGATTAAGAAGATTGATGTTATACATATATATATATATATATATATATATATAGAGAGAGAGAGAGAGAGAGAGAGAGAGAGAGAGAATTTGATTATTAGGGTTTTAGAAGATTGATTGAGATTAACCTGCGAAAGAAAAAGGCAAAAGGGAGGAGAACGAGGGTGGCAATAGCTGAAGCATAGAAGATGAAGACATAGTTGCTCATCCCTTTCAAAGTAGCTTCTATGTAAACTACGTTTAAGCCAACTTTGGAGCACTCTAAACTAACCATTGCTAGGAAGAGAATTATTTCCTTGCAAAAGTTTCTCCGAGCCATCTCCCTCTCTGATCTCTGAGAAATCTCCCTAACTTTTTATCTGCGTCTTCTCCGTTATATAAAAAGATCCCTCCCTTTGTATAAAATATTAAATAATCTAAGCAAAGAAAAATTTATATATTATACGGTAGAGGAAGGCCTGATAGCGACATGATTAACAATTTTATTGTTTTTTGAATAATATATTTTGTATTAATTCCTGATTCCATAAAATGTTGCTTCTCTCGATTACGAAATCATGAAATCAGAGCATAGAATTAATATTATTTTTAAACATCGGCTGAGATGTATAACATGACCTAACAACAGTAATATATATTTCTTGCAGACAAGATGATGACATTTATGTGGAAACCACCTAAGCGTTTGAGAAAGTTATTTTTATTTCAAGTGATATGCAGTAAGATAATTAAAAAATACTGCGGTGTGAAAAGGATCTCTCATCATGACACGTGATTTTTAGAATCTTTTTGCAATCGTTACAACGTATGAGTATCAATTTTGATGCAACCTTACAGAAGGATTCAATTTAATTTGTGTAGGATTCAGTAGAGCTCTGTGTATCTTCAACGTCTCTAAGGCTTTGCAACAAAGGGCTCTTACTCTTACTGTTAGTATCATCAAAGCTAGAGTCGTCTTCGTTTATCTCTTCATTGGCCTTTCCCCATATCACAGCATAAAATCCCATACTTATTATTACTGCTCCAATAACTCTGCAATTAATAATATTAGGAAAAGTCATTAAACACAAATATATTCGGCATTAAATTGAAGAATGAGAGGGATGTTAGATTATAGAAATAATCTTACTACCCTCCAGTGAATTTATACCACTTGGGTATTACCATCTTCCAATAAATTTATGTCACTTTGTGAATTTTTTTTCTCTCATGTATCTCTAAGTTAATTGTAATTGACAGTTATTAAATATACTTGGCATGCACACTACTACGTCAGTAATGCCACCATGACACCATAGACTACTTTATCTTGATTATATTACCTGCCAAGATAGAGAGCATCACCAAGGAAAATGAAGCACAGAACAACTGCAATGGCAATTGACAAAGGCTTGAAACATGTAACGTACACTGGCCCCTTAATGTGTAAGGCCCAAGTATGAACCACAGTGGTCAGTGATGTTCCAGTGAATCCCTGAAATACAAATCTCTCATTACTACAGGTTTTCTTTAAATTACCTAGACTGTCTGCAATATTTGAGGTAGTCCATTGGTATTTACCGAGTATATAATTGCAACTATTGCTATATCAGAACTCAGTCTCCAGGGACTCAAATTTGTTTCCGCCGTGAAACATATTACTGCACACATGATGGTTGAGATCTAGTTGTAGAGGAACACAACTTCGAACTCTGATGGGTACATCTTAATCACTTCAGTCTGTTTAATTCAGAGAACTCACGCTTTACTTACATCTCTTTAAATTAATTTTAAAATAATACTATACGTACAGACTTACGTATATAAATTAATGTGATACAAATTCAATAAAAATAAATACATTAAACAAAGTAGGAATGATTGATATATAAGTAAAATACCTGGATAATATACCAGAATGAAAAAAGTAGATATTCAACAGAAAGCAAAAGGCCACCAATGACCCAGCTTGATAGCGAGGAGCCGAGAAGAAATTGAAGTGAAGCTGGATGTGTAGAAGATGAAGATAAGACTGTTGGGCCTTCATAAAGAACCACCACCAGTGCCCCCGATATTGATGCTATTGTGCCAATGATTTTTGCTTGAGTTTTTGCACTCCTTAAAATTAGCTTTTCCATCCTTTTTGAGGCATGTAATTAGGAAAATGAAATCCAAAAAAAAAAAAAGAAACAGAGATTGAAGATGACCACCAAGAAGAGATTAAGGAACTCACAAGAGTAAGAAATCTAATAATCACCCTTGGATCCACTTCATGGACAACCATATATAACATCATGCATGTTTTCTTTTTGAGATTGATGGATGTCCTCAAAACTTTGATTAGTAGTTTGTTTTATTTGTTTAATAAAGTTTATTTATTGAAATTTAACTGTACATTTTATGTAATAATATAGTTTATTTATTGAAATGACTACTGATGACACAAATTTTTGTTTTGCTAAGTCATGATTTTTTTTTTTTTTTTCTAGTATGGCAATGGTGGCGGTTGTGGCTGCTTGAGTTTGGCTTTTGGATGGTTTATTTTCTTGGTTTATGAAGTGGTGGAAGAAGATAGATTTTTGTTAAGCTGCGGAGGTGATTTGGGTGAATTTGCTTTGCTAAGTTTTATAAATAAACGCTGTTAAAAAATTGTTGGGAGATGGTTGTTTAACTACGGAGTTGTGGCCTGAGAAATCTTGCTTTTATTTTCTGTAGCAATTTTGTAAAATGTTTTTATTGTTTTCTGACTCCATCATTATTTGATTTCATCTTTTGTTTTTTATTTGAAAATAAGGGGTATTATTGACGAAAACTTTAGGGTGGATTCTCTCTATGATCACGACATGACTTTTAGAAATTAATTTACTGTTTGATCACCAATCATAGAGATATTAAACTCGCTCAATAGAGTATCCAACTACCATATCCACATATATATAATAATAATGCATATTGAAAACTATTTCAATGGGTGGTTGTAAGTAATTACAATCACAGACTTGACCACTTTTATAAATATTATATACTATTATACTACTGGAATTTCCAATAACTTAAATGTTAATGATGAATTAATTAAAATTAATGAGGAAGAAGAAACAACGAAAACCTGAAATGACTGCAAGTGTGAAGGTAAAAGCAGGAGTGAGGGTGCTCATGGCTGAAGCAAGCGTAGGAGAGCTGTAAGCTATTCCCTTAAAGCCAAGTATCATAGCCAAAGACATGCCTTCCAAAGCATTAATTAAAACTCTTTGATTTCAAGCAATTCCAAACTATAAAAGATTAAAGAAAAGTACCCAGTAAGACCAAGCAAGCAGATTCTAAAGATGAACGGGAACCTGCCTGATGGAAGCACCGTTGAAGTACTCCTGCAATAGAGAGATTGAAATTGAGAAGATCTTAGTGAACACACACACACACACACACACACACACACATATATATATATATATATATAAAGGATTGGATGACTGGAAGATTGAGAGAAAATAACCTGCGAAAGTAGAAGGCAAAAGGGAGGAGGACGAGTGTGGCAATAGCGAAAGAGTAGGTGACGAAGACATAGCTGCTCATTCCTTTCAAAGTAGCTTCTTTGTAGATTACAGTTAAGCCCACACTGGAGCACTCTAAACTAACCATGGCTGCGAAGAGTAATATCTCCTTCCATAGATTTCTCCTGTCCATCTTCCTCTCCTCAAAGTAGCTAATAATTTATTTTGAGTCAAAATGTGATATTTATTTTATTTTTTTATTTAGAGGCAGAATTAGATTTCAATGTTTAAAATATTATATGTGGATGTGCTAATATTTTATTAAGCTTTCAAACCGTACATTTTGGATTTGAATGAGAGGTGACATCTGAAAGACAGTTGGAAAATATAGCACCTGTATTTTCAGTTACCATATAAGAAGTTTTGTGGATATATTCAACCTTGGGTTTGATCAAAGTCACAATTTGGTTCTGTGAAATTGAAAAGTGGGTCTGTAGTCTTTGTCAATCCACTTCCTTAATTATAAAAGATTAAAGAAAATTACCTACTACTAAATGGTGTAATTTTTTACCTTTTAATTAGACAGAAAGTCCAAACGAAAATGATTCACTGGCCATGGCCAATATTATAAGCTCCAAAACACTTAAGTTGATTACTTAATTACATACATGGCATCCAAAATTGTCTTCCCGTTTCAGCTTCTTCATTAGCTCTCAACTTAGCAAGCTTGCATACATCCATATCCATTTTTATTGCACCTTGAAGAAGGATTCAATTTAATTTGTGTTTGTGCTAGATTCAATAGGCCTCTTATGTATCTTTAACTTTTCTTTTAGACAAACCCGATAATTACCTCTCTCACTACTCAAACACAAAACTTGTGAGAAAAACTAATCCCAATAGTTGAAGGACTTGCCACTTACCACAAGGGAAAAGGTGTATCTTCAACTTTAAGGCTCTAAACAAAAGGCTCTTCCTCTCACTATTAATTGCAACAAAGCTAGAGTCCTCCTCATTGGCCTTTCCCCATAAAACACTATAAAATCATATACGTATTATTACTGCTCCAATTAAATATAATATATAACAAGACCTATCCTAACCTTCTCTATCCATTCTTATAAGACTCAAGAGACCAAGACGAGTTCGTGTATGAATATGAAAAATGGTGCGTAACATAAATTTTGAAAACAAATCCTGTTTTTGAAAACAAAATGGTGCATATCATAAATTTTGAATCTTAAAATCACAAATATTGAGTTTAGGCCCTACAAACAAAACATATGTAAATATGCATATAAAAGTCTATGGGTGATAACCCTAATGCAATTTACATTATATGCAACATGACATGCAAAATGAACTATATCATGTGCGCCCAACCTCGAGCGGAAATCACAACTCAACACGATCCTTGCATGTGATGATCTAGAGGGGGAATTTTTTTCAGTGTTCTGAAAATCGGATCGGACCATCCGATCGGACCGGTTCGACCGGGAGTCGACAGTATCTCCGGTTCGGTATCTTCTAAAAACCGGTATTTTCAATTAAACCGGATTGAGCCGCGATTGGACCGTCGGAATAGTGTCGAGTCGCGGTCCAATCACAACTCAATCCCGTCAGATTCCGACATCGTTCGACGGAGAAAACACCACCATTAGTCTTGATGGCATCTCCACGACAAAACCCATCCATTTTCAGTGGCCTTCGTCTAACCTTCGTTGCTCGCCGTCCACCTAAAGTTCACGCGACCGTCGGACTTCCTTCTTGATTTGGGCAATTTCCGACGCCAATGGAACTCCCTAACACCACCATCAGATTCGCCGGAACCTATACATCAAAAGCCCCATGATTCCAAACTTCGATTGGCCGTCGATTGTCGCTGCCGCCACCACTCACCAGTCTCTTCGCGCAACAGGGGTGTTTTAGACAGATTTCAAACCTTAAGGGAGTATTATAGGGGTGTTTTTGATGAATTTCAAACATTTAGGGACTACAAAATAATTTTATAGGATACGGTCCAACCGACCGATCCAACCGATCAAACCAAAAACCGAACTTTTGAACGGGTCATAATCCGATCCGATTTTCGGAACATTGATTTTTTTATAAAAGGATGAGTTGAAAGACTTAGCGAGTGGATAAGTTTATAAAACAACTTTTCCTCTTAATATCATTTCAGTTAATATGATATGAATAAAACCATTCAATATCACCACTAAATTATCTTCATGGCATAACTCTAGAAATTAATAAATTTTAAATACACTATCTATCAAGGTATTTTCTTTATTATTATTATCATGATTTCTTAATTCTGAATATTTGTTATGTAATACAGAGGGAATATCTGTCATACTTGGTGGGCATTCCATACACAGGCAGAGCAGGGAAAAACTATCATACCTGACAAGCTCTAATATGCTCAGGTAGAGCAACTAACATGTCATACTTAGCGGGAAGTCATCGCTCAAGCAAAGCAATTGAATCTGTCATATGTATGCACAGAGCCATAACTGAAATCTAAAATCTAGGTTTGTAATCTGATCTATGGGGGATGGGTACTTTGTAAGGTGTTTTAAAATTCACTTACTAAATTATGCTTTTATTTCTCAATGTATACTTTTCTCGTTGTTCTAATAATGCATAACGGTATTTTGTAACTTTCCCTAACAGTATTTATTCTCATGGTTATATACAAATGAAGCATGAAATAAAAGACAAATTAACTTTTCTAGACTTTCTTTAACTCGCACCCTTTCTTAACGCAACACTTTATTTTCAATAATTAGTCCAACACAATTTTATTCATCACTATAATACAAAATATTATTTTTTTCTCAAGAAAAGAATAAAGTTTTTGTAAAGCTTTAGGCTCCGTTTGGCACATAGTTTGAGAATGCTATTCTAGTATTTCCAATAAAGTTAAACACAAAATTTGTGTTTGGTTCACTTATTATCAAAATATTATTCTAAATTATTCAATTTCTTTTAAACCCCTTAAATTTGTTAATTTAACTAAACAATCCTAATTTTTTTTTTTAAATTTTGACAAAAACACCCCAGCAACCCATATTTACCAGATTCCGACCACCATTACCAAAAGCTGGCCAGAATCTGGTGTAATGGCACACTACCGGCTAAATCTGGCCGATAGTACACCGATCTAGCCTTTTCCGGCCAGATCTACGGTGGATTTAGACGGAAAACGGCCAAAAATCTAGCCATTGAGTAGACAATCGTCAACGACGGCCAAGATATGGTCGTTGTTGACCATCAATGACGATCGTATCTTTGGCTATCGTTGACGACTAAATGCAACCATATTTGGTCGTCAATGGCTAGATCTAACCGTAGATCTAGCCGAAAAATATCATATTGGCACACGATCAGCGAAATCCATCCGATCATGCGTCGATACGGTGACTCCGGCCACCCTCCAATGGTGGTAGCCGACTATTCGTATTTAATGAGTAGATTGAAGATATTTTTGTTAACTTTAAATAGTTTATTATAGAGGTGTTTAGTAAATAAACAAATATAAAAGATATTTTTATTAATTTTTAAAATTCTACATAATAATATCTATCCAATTTAACTTTTTAAAAAATATTATCCTCAAAACTATCAAATAACCAACCAAATGGGCTCTTCACATTTGACTATTTTGCAACTTGCATAAAATTTCTAGAAATCCATTTAATTTTCCATAATAAAAAAATATTTTTACCGACACGTAACCCAAGTCAAGACATGCACGTGACTTACAAATTGATAGATTTTCAAAACCATCCTACAATTTCCACTGAAACATCACATCGCAAGTTTATAAGATTTTTCCAATTAGGAAATTAACTCATTCTTTGAAAACTCAAAACCTAACCATTTCATGAGTCTAGGTGAAAAGGCCATCATTAATTAAAATTTTAACTGACTTTAACCTCAAGGAAACAACATGAATGTTTATCAAACAATAAATTTTGGAACATTTTAAATAAAAATTAATATATATCTTGGTTGATTTCTAATATATTTTAATTATACATGTAATAAGAAAGAGGTCAAAAATCACATTCGTAATTAAATGTATCCAAAAAAAACCTGAATTATAGTAATTAAGATTTTTCAAATATAATTTAATTAACATATTAATGCAAAATATTTATCATAAAAACATTTTAAGAAAAGTTCCACTCACTATTTAACAGTGTAACCGCTTATTCTCCTATATGTTGAAATAATAGAAAAGAGCCTATAAAATAAATAAAACCTCAAATTCTTGATATCACACACAAAGAAATCCTTAATATTTTTAACATGATGGCCCATTATATCTGGAATTTTAAAATGAAATAAAGAAAATACTACAATATGAAAAAAGATCTTTCATGACAAGTGATATTTTAGCAAATTCAAGCTTTTGCTTCATGTGTATGGATCAAGCCTGCTTGAAAGTATGGATACTTACCATTGTAGTTATAACCAGACAAAAGGTGAAGAGATAATCTCTTGAATTCAAAATAAAATAAAAGGACATTAGTTGTTTTCCTACAATTAACTTCCTGAAATGGAATTTCTGTGTCCACAACAATTCTTCTTCTTTATCACATAGAGCCCGATCAAAAGTGTTAAATCAGTTGAGGCTGTTAGATATCTTCCCAAGTATTTTGTTTCATCAGGTTCAGAATGACCGTAGCTAAAATCAGTGAATTTGCTTGTATATCTCTAATTTTTTGTGGGCAGGCAGACAAAACGTGAAGTGTTATTTCTCTTCTCTTCCATCATGTATTTTTCAATAATGGAAACTTCTGGTTTGCTTCCAAGCTAGTGACATTGCCAGCAGTCGTGTTGGTTTCATTGGCCTGTCCCCATATAACCGCATAAAATCCGAAAGCAATTACAATAGCTCCAATCAAACTGCAAAAACATTGTATATGATTACGGTTTCTCTTCACATGCTCTAAGAACAACAATGACCAAAGTAAAAGCAAAACCATCATTCAGTAGCTAATATCAATGACTCAGCTTTCATGTGTATGTCTATGTGTACATATGTGAAATGCAGGTGCATGTGTGAAAATGATATAGTTGTTCCAATCTTGTTTGAGTTTCAACTCAACACAATATTTATTCAAGATTGATGTAAAATGACATTTACCTGCCAAGATGAGGGGTTTCACCAAGGAACACAACTGCCGTGAACACCGCAATAACAGTTGCAACAGGCTTAAACAGGGCAACAAAGACAGGCCCCTTCTTGTACAGGCACCAAGCAATAACACTGGAACGAAAAACAGTTCCCACTATTGCCTGAATTGAATCACAAAGAAAGTGTATGAAGATATTTAAAATATAAAAGATGCCATCATAACCTTGTTATAAACATCTGTGGAGAAAAACTAAAAGTTTTGAACTTGGAATGACTGACTGAAACAAAAACAGAGACGAAGTTATTTATACCGCATAAACAACAGCAGCCATTTGAATGCCAGGTTGCAGTTTCCAAGCCATTGAATCTCTTTCTACTATTAGGGAGACAACAGCACATTGCAAGGTCCCAAAAAAACAGGATAAAAAGACTAGGGTCACTTTGTCAGGATACTCCTTCAAAGTTGCTGCCTGGAAATGGAATCAGGTTATTTCCAACGATATTAAGCATTTTATATCATTTAGTGACCTAAATGATACATTCTATAAGCAACTCAGGAAGATCTTTTCTGGGGAAAGTATTGTATGCTAATTTTAGTTTCTTCTGGTATACATATACATGTATTTTTTTTTTTTTTTTTTTTTTTAAATTCAAGTATCAAGTCCAAACCATCCACCTTCGGCTCATATCTAATGACATATGCCACAACCCTACAACGGTTCGGTATTTATAGTTGCAGTCTGTACCTGAAAAATTTTCCATGTTGCAGATGACACACAAGTGACTGTAAGGAGAAGGCCTCCAAGAGCCCAATTCGAGTATTGTGAGACAGGGAGATGAAAATATGAGTTAGAAGTTGATGAGAGCCTCATGAGTGCAGGGCCCTTGTAGAGAGTCACTATAAATGCGCCAAATATTGATACAATGGTACCAAGGATTTTAGCCTGGCTACTTCTGCTTCTAAGAGCTACCTTTTCCATCCTTGAAATTCAACAGTCAAAGATGCATATCAATAGAAAGAAAAAGAATGGTAATCTTCGACATACTACAATAGAATAAAATTCTAATCAAATAAATATTTGACAGGAAGTAAAATTAGCACCAATAATTTAACCGTCATAAGATCAAATACGAGTTAATGAAGAAATAGAAGAAAAAATAAGATAATCCTCAAAGAGTATCATTCAAGATCTGTCTGTTATAAATTCCATTACCTTAGGAATCACTATTAGTGCTTCCCAATAACAATTATATATCCCTTCCAAATGGAAGGAGAAAAATATTTTACTAACAGATTACCCCTTCATTGTTCTTCTAGCATTCCTTCAGGATAGAAGAAAAACATTTTCTTTGTTTTGTGTTTTTAGCAGATTAATCCGTCATAGTTTTTCTGGTGTAGGTCGTCAGCCCATTTTGTTCTGATAGTTTCCTTGTCTGGTTTTAACTATAATTATCAATACTTTATAACTTCTTCTAGCTAGAAAGAACAAAACTTCTACAAGATACAAGAAACATGAATATGACAAGAGTACAAAGTAAGAATCTGACACTATATATGGTTTGAGAATCAAAACTAGAGTATAACAGATAAGAAAAAAGTATGAGAGTGTTTCACAAGATAGTTTCTCCATAAAGATGTAAGAGCAGTGCTTCAAACACCAGGTTAACATTTATGATATCATTAGGCAGTAAAACAGCGAATAGTTTCTAGTTCTGATAGGTATCAGATGACTTGGATCTTGTACTCTTCTATATTTATACCAACGTTACTAATGCATTTCTTCTGCGCATAGGCAAAATATATTGAGCTAAATTAAATGATGTCTTTCTTTTTTTTTTTTTTTTTTTAGTCTGATTATTTTAATTATTTCATACATTTCAATCTCGAAATTTATACCTGATTCAACACCAAAACCATTGAAATCAGTTTACAGATATTGATCATGGAGCCCAAGAATCCAAGTTACAGGGTAAGATTAATTTCTTTTACATAAGAGTCCACAATGAAAATGGTGTAATGCATTAAATTCAAATCAACCAACGAAGCCAATACCTGAAAGCAATGGCAAGAAGAAATGTAATTCCTGGAATGAGATTACCCATAGCTGAAGCAAGAGTTGGAGAGCTGTATTTGATCCCTGTAATTGCAAAAGTCTGCACAAAACAAATCCTGCCACAGAAATTTTCCCAGGTCTGATTATCTGTTTCCCAAAATAATTAATTAGTCTAACATAAACTAATAACAAAATTAAAAACAAAACAATACCCATTTGAGTAATTCACTACAATGCATTACCCAAGTAAGCCCAGAAGAAAGAATTTACAAAGGAGCGGGAAAGTGAGAGAAAGGCTCTTGCTTCTGCACAAAACAAACAACAGAAGAAACTAATATAACCATAAGGAGAATTTGGAAATTAAAATTAAAATTAAAAAAGAAAAGAAAAGAAAAGAAGAGACCTGTAGGTGTGATAGAGGAAGTAATGTAATAGAATGAAGGTGCCAAGGGCATTATAGTAAACAACATAAACAAAGTTGCTCATGCCACTACTCATGGCGAATTTGCCCAGAGTTATCATGCCCACCTCACCGAACTCAACCAGTACCATTGCCGTGAAGGGCGCTGCATCTGGTCCACTGGGTAACGAAGGCATTGAATTAAAAGAGGAAGAGGCAGGGGTTGGAGATCGGCGGAGTCCGGAGAAGACTCCGTTCACCGGAATGTGGTCGCTCAGCGTCAATGAGAACGAATTGAAAATGAATTTTGGGTGGAGGAATCAAAGTGTTGTATGTAAAATACGCGTGATCACGAAACGTGTTTAAGGGAGGATGGAAAATGATTAAATTGACAAATGTAAATTATTTAATTGATAATTATTTTTGGAAACAATATATGTTTTTAATTTATAATTAAATTAAATATTTGGTATTTTCTTAATCTACTAAGTTTATGGGTTTATTTTTTTTCATAGGCCGAGCATTTAAGCATACCTAAGGTTTGGCGAAATGACAGATTGGTATCCAAAAGGTTTCAAAACGACAAACAAGTACCTTCCGTCATGTTCGGTTAGTGATTTCCGTTTGCTAATAGTGAAAAGACTATAATGCCCTTTGAGAAATATTAGTCTATTTTTTTAATTACTTTTAGACCCCTTAAATTTATTAATTTCACAAATACCCCCTAAAAAAAGTTTAAAAATTAACAAAAACACCCCCACCCACCCATACTTGCTAGATTTCGGCGGCCACCGCCAGTGGTAGTTGGAATCTGTCACAACGATCTACGCCACCATTGAAAATTGTCGGTAATTCACTGATCTGGCCTTTTTCGGCCAGATCCACAGTGGATCTGACCGGAAAAGGCCAGATCTGACGTGAAAAGGCCAGATCTGGCCAGAAAGTGACGGCCAACGAAATGGCCATCGTTGACAGACAACGACGGCCACATCTTTGGTCGTCGCGGCCAAAGATGGAGTGTTGCGACCGTCGACGGCCAGATCTAGGCCCTACCCACCAGATTTGACGAATCTGTGGTGTAATGTAATTTTTTGGACAGATTCTGGCGATGGTGGCCGGAATCTGGCACTGCGGTGGTGGTGGTGTTTTTGTTATTTTACAAAAAAAATTATATATTGGGGTATTTAGTTAAATTAGCAAACCTATGGGGTTTTTTACAAATTTTTAAAAAACTAAAATATCAAACTTTCAAGGATATTTTAGTCTTTTCACCATTAGCAAACGGAAATCACTAACAATACATGACGGATGATAACTGTTTGTCATTTTGAAACCTATTTGGTACCAATCTGTCGTTTCGCCAAACCTCCCCTTTTTCTTACGCATTGAAAGAGCATTTATGACATTTCCTTTCTTGGTATTGAGAGACAATAAACATTAGTCAGAAGGCCATACACGGTTGGCTATTCAATCACATTGTGATATTAATATTAATAAGTAATTTACATAGTAACTGAAATATTAAATAATAATTAAAATATTATTGGTAATTTAGAATAAAAAATATGAAGTCAATTGCACGGTAATTTTCATTCTTCACAGCTTTTAATCTGTTAACAACATTACATTATAAAAGTTCATTTTTTATGAGAAAATTACAACATGATGTTTACAAACTTCATATATCTTCACTGTTTTGCACAAGAGGTGTCTTTTGGCTGGCTGATCCCAAGCTACAATCTTCAATGTCGATAACCATGATTTTCTCTTTCATTTGTCCCCAAATCACAGTATAAAATCCGAGTGCAATTACAATGGATCCAATCGCACTGCAATATCCATTCAATTAAACTCCCATTAGTCTTTGTGTCTTTCTTCACTTGATATAGAAAGAGTTCAGAGAATAATATTTGTACCTGCCCAGAGACAGAGTGCTTCCAAGGAATATGACTGTCAGGACCACTGCAACAGCCATCCCCAGTGGCTTGAACATTGCTACATAGGTAGGCCCCTTCTTGCGTAAGCACCACGTATGAACAGAAATCCGGAAAACACTTCCGAATATAGCCTAAAACAACCTCAAATGATCAGCAATAATCATTTCAAATGTGTAAATTTGAATATTAGATTTCGTTATTAAATGATCAGTATTCCTCTTACCGTGAAAACAATGGCGAGTATTTCAACAGTTGTTGACAATTTCCATGCACTTAGATTTCTTTCTGTTATGGCTGAGAAGATAGCAGCTTGGATTGTTACAAAGAAGGTACAGAAGAAGACTATGGTCATTTCTTCTGGGTACTTCTTGACAATAGCAGCCTGGAAATATAAAACCACCCAGCAATATATGGTTGTCAAATCAACACAGAATTGCAAGTAAATTAACACTTACTATGGTTTAAATTGAATGAATACATTATTTCAGTTTGAAGATTGAAATTTGGAAAGTATATTTCAAATACAATATCTCCAAGAATACAAGGAGTGAATTCATTATATGGTGTTCTGATGCTCAAATGTAGAAAGCTTGTCGGAGAATTCCTCTACCTGAGAAATGTTCCATGTTGCGGATGATAGAGCAGTCCAAAGAAAAAGAAAACCTCCAATGACCCATTCTGATTGCTGTGAATGAAGCGGCTGACGAGGAGTTGGAGAGCTAGAAGTTGATGAAGCCACCAAGAGTTGTGGACCTTTATATAGCGTGATTATAAACGCTCCTGTTACCGCTACAACAGCACCCAAGGATTTGGCTTGACTGCTTGATCTTCTTAAGTCTAGCTTCTCAAACCTAGGATTTGAAAGTGTTTTTAAGGGAGGAAAAATCATCATGCACATTCAGAAATTGATAAAAATGGGTTTCTTCAGACTAAATCATCAAATGCAAGGAATTGAGTACATAAAAGTTAAAAATTGGAAGAGAAGAAAGATGACATTGCCAACAATGGCTCAACCTAACATAACCAAAATGAATTTCAAGCGTCAATATCCAGACAAGCTTAGTTCTAAAGTTCACCTTCCCCTCTGTCAAATTTTGGAAAAATAAGATAATATCTAGGCATTGGTTCAGTTGATTTCTAAAAACAAAAACTTACAACTTCTTACCTGAATATGACTGCAAGTAAGAAAGTAAAGATAGGAATAAGATTCATCAAAGCAGATGAAAGAGTTGGTGAACTGGATTTAATGCCGGTACAATATATTATTTGGCCAGAGCTCCTGCAACACCAGAATTTTCTATTTTAAATGTACACTAAGAATGAAACCGTTGTAGCAATTACCAAAGAGGTTAGAGAGTAGTGCTTACATTATGAGGGCAACAAGGAAAAATCTCCAAAGATGGGAGAAAGAGAGAGGAGGACGCTTCTTTCTGCAACAAGAAAGAAGAATTAGAGATCAAATACTGCATTAAAAACAATCAAACAAAAGCTTCATAAATGGAATCAAGTGATGAAAGATACCTGTTGAAGAGAAAGTAAGGAAGAAGAATGAGGGTACCGAGGGCATTACAGTAGACCACTGAAACAAAATTGTTCATTCCCTGGTTCAAAGCTGCTTTGGTTATTACTGAGAGACCCACATCTGTGCATTCCACTGTTAACATCGCCAAAAGTGGCACTGTCTCCTGTACAAATGATCCCAACTCCATTTCTCCACCGCAATTGTTGCTTTTTTTTTTTTGTTTTTTTTTGGGGGGGTGGGAGGGGGAGGAAGGAGTTATGTGATGCAATAACATTTGTACATATATGATTGATGGTCCTACCTTGGTATTAGTTTAGTAATATTACCGTACTCGCTAGTTATTACTTATTACATATTTTTATGCGGTAAAATAACGATACGTCAACGAGCAACCCAATTGAAAATCTTAAACAAACGGTTACACAAAAAGATTCCAGAATAGAATGATCACCAACTTTTGTCTACTTTGGCAACTTGTATTAACATATGAAAACGGTCATAATCAGATACAGCTAAGGTTATTGCAATAACTTTAGTGTTTTTTTTTTCAACTTATTCAAACGAGTTTATTATTTACCCTAAATTGAATTTACAGTTTTACACTTTCCTCCTGAAATTCGAAAGTGAAATATGCCGGTACTGTATAATTATCATAAATATCATCAATCGTCAAAATTCAGAGACCCAAAGTTGGATAATCATTTACAAGACTTCAAAAGGATTGCCAAATATTGAACATTTATCAACTTCAATTCCTCCTCAAGAAAGTTGGGTTATCCTACGGCGGATATTCAGTATCATTCTTAATATTTACCAGCAGAGGGACAACACCTTAGAGAAATCCTCAGTAGTTCAGTATCAAATGTCTACCCTCCAATCCATTTCAGGGTGTCCATCCCTAGTTCTTCTCTGGGGCCACAAGTCGAAACGCCTAAAGCATAATTGCAGTATGTTTTTTTATACAAAACTAAAACAAAGGGAAGCATGCAAATGATAGCTTAGGTGCTCAGCGGAATCTTGGTCTTCAACTTTCACTTTCATCTAAGCAAAACCCACCGCCCATTATCAGGTGATCTTTGGAGAATTCTGCCTCACAAAAAGGATCCTCATTCTGGCTCACATTTGGCTCACCAATTTCACCTTCATCAACGCAAAATCCACCTCCTCTTTCAAGGTAGTCCCCAGAAGATCCCTCCTCAAGCAAAGGATCACCTGCTTTATGTTGTTCCTTTCTAAAGGGGTCAGCTGAAGCATCTCCAGCTAGGCCATGAACTTCAAATAATTGTTGTTCTCCCGCCTCTTCATTTGAGCATTCTTTATTACTCCATATCTTGCTCCCATCATCAATTTCTTGGTCATTCATACAGTAATTTACAGACTTCCGTGAACGACTTGACTGAATGACAGAAAAATGAGAATAAAAAGGAAATTAAAACATCTTGAAATCACAGCTATTTCAGATGTTCAAATGTAAATGCGTTCCATTGTTTCAAATCTCAAAGACAAAATAATAAAATATTAACATAGGCCAAATCTACCATTTACAAGTCACAATTCGGAAATTTCATATCTTATCCAAAAAAATAAAAAAATAAATGGAAGCTCACACATAAAATGCTTGTCAGATAATTCAAACCATTTGAATAGGCAATTTAAAACATTTTCTAATACAGCATTCATGTATACACTTTTTTGTACAAATTAACATTTTTCTTAATAAAGCTATACAGTTCAAAACAAAACAACCTAGAAGCCCTGAATATTGATTACAATCCTTCTCTATTCTCTTTATATATCTATTTAACCACCATCACACTGGTAAATTACACCATCTCATGTTATATACAACTACACCAACTCAGACAGGCAAACTATTAATAACCAAGAAGACTAAATTAGTCAAAGACAAACTATACCATGTCTCAAAAGCAAAAACAGGAAATCAAGTGTTCCGTTGCTCGTGTTCTTCATATAATTATATAAATACCAAAATTCCTCACATAGAAATGAAGTAAAAAGAAAAAGAGTTAAGCTTACCCTTCGCAGTTCTTGTGGCCCTTCTAGCTTCTCATTTCCACCAACGCCATCACTAGAGCTGGTTTCAGTTAAGTCAGCACAAAGCCTTTTTCTTCTCCTCCCTCTACCTCTTCCAATCCCATGTGATATTTCATTGGTATTTCGCCCACCATCAGCACATATTAATGACTCTGGATTTTCCCTTTCGGATGAAACAATCTTTTCAGTAACCCTCCTTTTCCTTAACTGCTTAGGAGTTGACTTTTCCCTATTGTTTTTGGCTCCAGCAACACTTTCCTCTGAATCTTTCGCTGATATACTATTTCCATTTTCAAGATGATCTGCTCTCTTCTTCTTTCTACTTTTAGGAACTTCCTGCCCAGCCTCACCCATCAACTCCAAGGATTGGTTTCCAGTTATTGCTTTAACAGCTTTCTTAATTCTCTTGCTACGAATTTTTGCAAATCTTTCATTAAAAGTGTAAAATGCTTCTAGTCTCAGTTGAGTCTTCATCACACAAGCAACAAAAAAATTATATCAGAATCTTTTCTTACCACAACAAAAAAATGAACAAGAAAACTAAAGGGTGATAGATGCTCAGAGAATATGCTACCATTTATTCAATAAATCCTGTATTAAGTGGCAGTGATAGATGGAACGTGCATGTGTGTATGTTTGCATGCATGGATAGAGAGAGAGGAAGCGAAGTATAGGCCTCTAACCTCTCGTTTCTCATACTCCTTCAAAACAGGAAGGAGCAGCTCGTCTGACTTCTGACTTCCCCATGCAAACTTATCCCAGCAAAATCTATAAAACCAATAAAATCAGAAAATCATGCCTTTATTATTAATGTTTTTAATAAAAAATATATACAGATAACAGAATGTCCACAGTGCTCAAGATGGTATAACGATAATCTATGATCTAGGAATACTTTTGGGACATAGAAATCATTCTTCCATTAAAAATCTGAGACAAATAACTCACAGTCAGAACATGACTCAGTTCAGTCTGTCTATGGTACATAAGCAAGCCTTTTCAAAAAGAAATTTACAACATGGAAGAAAGAAGTCGAAAATTATATTTAGAACAGGATATACAGAAGCCCATAACAGGTAGAATGTCGCATGAAGCAAGATAAAAGAAAGTTCAAGATACGACTACAAGCAAATCAAACCTGAGTCCCAGTTTTTAGTCCACTTGACAGAATCCAACAAGAAACCTAATAGAACAATAGGAAAGTAATCCCAAATTTTACTAAGAAGTTGGAAATTATCCAACAGCACAGGATATACCAGTCTATAAAAGGTAGAATGCCATATGAAGCAAATAAAATAAAAAATTGAAATTCAAGATACCATTACATGCAAATCAAACCCAAGCCTGAGTCTATAGTCCACAAGATATGATCCAGTAAGAAGCCTACTAATACACCAGGAACATATTCCCATATTTTAATAAGCAGAATGATAAAATCAATCAACAAAATCAAGACTTAAATGAACCATCATCAGTTCACAAAGAATATAATGTCAGATGCATGATTAAATCTGCAGTTGATGTTTCAGTGGGAAAAGAAACCATCTTTGTTTCAAGTAAAGAGACAAACTATTGAGGAATTTGGACAAGAATCTCTCACCTAGCTTTCTCACTTTTATCCATAGAAAGATAAGGATATTGTTGTTATAATACCAGATGCAAGAAAGTTAAGAGCTAAATAGTAAGAAATAACTTACTTGCGCAGAACAAAAAGGTCTGGCTTTCCCCATGAGAAAGGCTCAGTTGATTTATCCACTTGGGGACAAGTATATGCTGAAATAACAACTTCACTTGGGAAGGAGGAAGGTATATGCCAGTTCTTGCTCACATTTCTCTATAAATTAGAATTTGATGCATTCAAAAACCAATAGAGAAGTGAAAAATGATCATTTCCGTGAGAGTAACATACTTAAAATGGAAAAGTAATAATTACATGATTATCCATGAAAATCTTCTTTATGTCTTGGCTGTGATCTGCAGACCACTTGTTCTCATCAGCTTGAAGAACATTTTGGCCACCTACAGAGAGTCCTTCCCTGCTGCATTTTATCTGACTCATACTATTGTCACCAACTTTTGATGCTCTTTTCCTTGCATTTGATACAGTTTGAACATCAAACTTCCCAAGGATGGTCGGATCTGGTGATTCAATCCACTCCCGGAATTGGTGAAGACCATCTTCCTCAGGGAATGCATTTACAACCTCAATGGCATTGACAATACCAATCCCGCTGCATCAAAATACATCCCATTGAAATTCAAATAACTAATATACAAATTAAGCACGCCTACTTAAGAAGGTAAAGAAGCATTTCCACTTCCAAAACTAGAAAAGCAATAACCCACAAAATAACAATCTGCGGTGACTAGTCCCGCAAAGGAATTTGCACATGAAAAGGAAAAATAAGGGCATTTTAAAGCCACCTTGTAAAATTGTTTCTCTTTTTGGAAATAATTAAAATACAGAAAAAAGTTTCACAATGATTTTTCACATGCATGTCTGAAAATATGTAGTGTTAATTTCCATGTTTTCTCCATCCTTGAAAACATAATTGGAGTGTGTACTATCGGGTGCTGCCATAGATCCACAAAAGGCATACTCAGAAGAAGCTGATGGCTGAATAGATTCAGGTGGTCCTCCATGCTTCAAACAAACTAATTGACCAACAAAGGGAGCAAGGAGACCTTGAAGTTGTGGGAGATGCAATGATTGTGAGTTGTTATAGGCAGTGGCCAGAGCTCAAGACATTTAATGATATCAACAAAGTGGAGTTGTATTGAGTTTTCCATGTCCTAGTCATTCAGTAGTTACAATTAACAAGTACTTATCACGCCATTTTTTATACATTAGAGGGTTGAAAATCAGATTCATACCTTCACCAAAATGAAGTTAGCAGTTCTTAGGACACAAGTTTAGGTAATTACAAAGTGTTTTTGTAATTTTGATGTATTTTTGTGACATGGTCACTGTTATTTTCAGATATACTATCCACTGCATTGCCAAATCTTGAAAATAAAAAATGCAATTTTAAAAAAAAAAAAAAAATTGATAAAACATTACTAATTGGGCCCTAAATATTTTCAGAAAATCCAAAATGCATAATACTACAACATAACTAACATAAATTCCAAATAAGAAACCTAAAATTGCCACAGCAATTACCTAATCCCTTCAGTATAATCACTCCCAAGAAGCAGTGCCATGCGAATAAGTTTTTCCCTGGTCAGACCAAGCTCTTTTTCAATGTCCTGAACAGGACAATGTATGAGCACAAATATAAGCAACTCAATACTATAAATCATATTGTACCAACAGTATATGAGTTGAATTAAAATGAAAATACATATTAATAACGCCATATATACTCACAAAAATGAGCTAAAAATTTAAATTTACACATCATAGGCAAAAAAGAACAAAAATAAGTGGCACAAATACATCAAAAAACAGAATCTATAAATCAAAAGGTAAATAGAAATTTCTTCTACGCTCAAAATGAAGGAAAAATTCCTACTTTTTCATGCATCACAAATATAACAATTAAAATTGCCACAAAGTAGGCATAAGACCCTGATATGCCTCCTGATTTACTGAATTACACAAGAGTAACACTAAAACTACGAATATAAGGGGGCGTTTGGTTAAGGAATGTTAGATTACTGGGAATGTTGGATTACTAGGAAGATAGATTACCTTGGAAGCTTACTAGGAATCTTTAAGAAAATGTGTTTGGTTAGTTGGTGGGTATGTTATATTAATATGTTTGGTTATGGGGAATAAATTAGTGGGTATGTTATTTAAATTACTAAATTGTCCCCTTTACAAATATATATATATATAATATTATTTTTAATATTAATTTTTGAATAATTTCTTTTAACCCCCAATATTTCAGATTTAGTTAAAACACCCCTGCTTATATAAAATTTTAATTTATTACGACATCACCCCCACCTCTTGCTGCCGCCTGCTGCCACCGCAGACCACCGTCGAAAGTCTCCGAAAGTCCCCATCAGCAACTCACCGTGACCAAGAGGCTTCGATATGGCCATTTCCGGCCGAAAACGGCCGTATCAGGCCAGATCCCTGGCCATTATCGGCCAGATCTGGGCGAGATCTGGCCGTTATCGAAGCCTCCCACCGAAACTCGTTCTTTTTTAAGGACTTCGAAGATTTTTCGGCGGCGGTCGGTGGTGGTTGGCCGCTGTCGACGGGGGTGGCTAGGTGGCAGTGGTGGTGGTCTGTAAATTGTTTTAAATATAAAGACATTATTGTCTAAAATTTTAGTTGAATAAGGGTAAAATTGAAATAGGATATTAATGTAAATTTATTTTAAAATGAGGGCATTATTGTCCAAAATTTTCATTAATAAGGGATAAAATTGTAACAAAAAATGATAACTCTGGTAATCTCAGAATACCTAAAATAATGGAGGTAATCAGATTACCTCCAATATTACCAATAGTAACTACTATTGGTATTTAAAGATTATCGGAATCTTATATTATTTGACAATCAAACGTGGTAATCAAGTAATATAAGATGACATTACCCCAATAATCTGACATTACCGCAAACCAAACGCCCCCGGACAGAAAACAGACTAAAAAAGTAATGCCCTAAAAGTTCCAATAAGGAACCAGAAATATTGAATAAAAAAGGAGATAAAAAGGAAGAAAAAAACCTATACAGATTTCTTAATGAACCATTCAATGAAATCAAAATATAGGATAAAAACAGATGTTTAAATGAAAAAGTATCTTAGGGACACTATTAACAGGAAGAACAATCTTCATCTTTTCAAAGTTCAAACCTGCATGAAGTATGTCTCCACATATTTGCGATCATCAAATATATTCTTGTAAACACTTTGAGCTCCAAACAAGAACACATCAGAATCATCAGTCACAACACCATCAACAAGATTCACAATCTCCATAAAAGCACATTGAGCTTCTGCTTCCATTGGGGCAATAATATAGGGTAGGCCAAACATTTGCAGCAGTTCCTATCGAAAACCAAATATAGAATATCTATTGTTAATAAAAAATATGGGACAAGAGAGTGGCATTTTGGAGAAATTAAAGAATATGGCTGTATTTTTAAACTATAAAAGACAACAAAATCAAAATGATGAAATTTAAGTACACACCTGGCATTCGGCAAACATCTCACTGCTAACAGATTCAGCATTGCGTTCTAGCTTCCTTTGCTCATCTTCTAGATTCATACATTCTTGATCTAAGATTAGCATTTCCTCTTCCAAATTAGCCTCTGTGAACTCCACCTGCATGTTATCATTTTCCTTAAGTTCAGATTTCTCTATATTGTGCTCTCTACCACTGAATTCACAATCATGGGTTCTTTCTGCAGCCAAATTTTGCTGAGTATTATTTTTGTACATTGATTCATTCAGAGATGAATCCACCATGGAGCTGTACGGATCACTAGACACAATTGTTTGATGCAGTGGCTCAGCTTCACAATCATTTTTCTTACCACTGATCATAATTGAGGATTCAGCGACAAGTTCACTTTCCTTATCATCAAGGAGAGCAGAGCACTCAACCTCAGAAGTATTTTTCTTGTCACCAACCAAAATGGCATCAGACATGTAACTATCAAGGACAGCAGAGCACCCAACTTCAGAATTATTTTTCTTGTCGTCAACCAAAATGGAACCAGACATGTCACTAAATACTAAATCAGCACCATGAGAATTATCTTCAGAACACCTTTTCGTAAAGGTAGCTAGCTCACCACCCTTATTAGAAGCATCAAAGCATTGCCCTTGAACAAAGTGTTGCTCCTTCATTCCGAAAGTAGCAACTGATTCTGCACGTGCCACATCTCCATACAAAGACCTCCCTTCACTTGCATCTTGCCTTGATTGTTCAGGAAGGGAACTGGGGTACTTTTCACATGATTTACTTAGTGTCTCCTTGTTATTAGGGTTATGTACTACAGACTTCAACTGACTCTCTAAAGCATTAGTAACTTGTGAGTCACTTACTCCCCCTGCAGTACCCAGATTTTCTCCATCGCGAATTTCACAAACTGGTTCATCTTGTCGAGTAGCATTCTCCCCCAACAGATTTGACCCACTCGTATTATTCTTTTCATCAAGAAATCCAACATCATCACAAGCATTTTCTCCAGATCTTTTACAATTTTCATCATCAGATAAGACATAATCAGATTTCTCACTACATAAATCCAAGAGACTTCTTCTTATTGCCTCCTGCAAATTAGCCTCTTCTTCCAAATGACCTCTAGGAACTGTTTTTCCTGATTCCGTAAAACAGGCAGAGGAACTTTTGGGAGCACCACTAGGTCCTCCTTCCCATTCCACTTCACTTTCATCATTGATATTGCCCTCCTTACGATAAGGAGCAGGGTTAATTTCTGCATTAACATCATTAGAAAGACTATTAACTTTTTCTTCAACATTCCCTTCTTCCCAGTCGCTATCTGAAATTGAATTAAAAGACTGTTCCTTTGAAGGAGTATTGTCAGTAGAAACAACTTCTACAGGACTTCCTGCAGCTAAACGAGCAAAAACATCATCATCATCAACACGATTGTTCTCACCATTGTCTTCAAATGATATCTGTATAACTTTTTCATTTTTAAACATTGACTGCTTGTTTCTCTCTTTGTTTACAAATCCACTATTATCGTCAGGTGAAGTTTCAACAAACTCATTTTTCCCAGAAAAATTATTTGAGGAACCTATTTCATTTATTCTGAGCAATGAATTTGACTCCACATCTATTGTATTGTTTGTATTTACTCTCTCTTGCTCAATCTCTCTCATCAGATCCAAATTCCTTTGTAAATCACGAGTCATACGAATCCCCATAGCTCTGACCTTACTAACACGAACACGCCCTCTTTCATCCAGATATGTCTCTATATCATCAAAAACTGCTCCTCTTTCCTCTGGGGCCAATCCTGTTACAGCATTGGATTCACTGCAGGATGATGCATTGTCCCTGGACGCTGAAGAAGGACGCCTTGATGGCTTCTGTTGTTGCTTATCTGCAGTACTCCCTACTTTAGCAGATGCAAGCACTCTGACATGAGTAACATTATAAAGGTTATTACTCCTTTAAGATGCACATAGGTTATCATTAAAAAAGGAGGGGGGAATGACAAAAAGCAGCAATTAGTCAAAGACAAAACACCAATTAAATCATTACTCACTGTTTGTCCCCAGTAAATGATGATGAAAAAATAAATTCTCTGTTAGCTTCAGAGGCTATTCTTGAAGTCTGGATGCCACCTACCCCTCTTCCAGCAGCAGCTTTCTGCACTTCATCTATCTCCCGCCGGAAAGCAACAGTTTTAAGATAAGCCCGTATTTGTAGCTCAGAGAATTTTTCGGGTGCCTAGATGTGAATGAAATAACAATAAGGTTAGGTCCTCAAGATCAAAGAGAAGCATCAAAGAGCTTGGATAGATATTAAGCAAGCTCTTAATCAGAGAACAAACTAACGGTTTGGATAACAAGCTCCAATATAACCTTATTTCTTTATTTGCCTGTTATCTAATTGGAACCTGACAGTTGCCACTTCCTCCATTCTAGTTTCATTTTAATCATACAAAATTCGCCAGATAAACAAAAGATACTGTTTTAATTCCAAAAAGCTCAAAATAGCAAGGACCCATGCTGCTTCTACCATCTTAATCTTGTGGGGTGGGAATTCCCAAAAGATTTTCTCCAGTTATGGTGCACCATTCCTGCTAAGCTCTTTGCAACTGTTACCACTCACAATTACCTATTTTTAAATCCAAGGAAGAACCTTACAGCATGACACTTTATGTCATCACTGAAGTGCTTTAGCATAGAAATCCACACATTTATGTTACCAATTACAACATCAATCAGATTGAAAACATTTCATAAAGATACAACTGTGATTTGTTGCTCATAGCAGAAGACATCAATTAGGGGGTCAGAACAAGCATGATTTGAGATCTGAAACAATTTTCTTAGTATTAAAGGATCAGAATAGAGACCTTCTTGACTTTTTGATACTTCTGTCTGTTTTCCGCCATCAACCGCTCTCTCATCTACAGAAAATGACATTAATAACCATATTTCATATACAAAAAATTAAAAAGTATAGACTGGAGAAACTGAAAAAGCTTGAGTGACAAAAATCCATAACTATGTATACACAAAGCTAACCTGAACAAGAAGATCCAGTTGCATTGATGGAGGAAGAGCAGCTAAAACAGCTGGATCAACATTCCCATGCATAGCTGGCTGCAAACAGAATTAGTTCAAAAGGTCATTGAGCACCAACTAGTACACACTTGAGCAACACAGAAAGAGAGATGCTTTATTTCTTCAATAAGAGAGTCAAGTAAGCTAGCCAATAAGTATCGCCTAACTAACTTCCCACGCATCTTTGAAGGATGAACTTAGAAAAAGGAAACAAATAAAACAAGCATCCAAAATTTAAATAGCTTTCCAAAGACTTCTGGTTTGAAGGACAGCTTATAAAATTGTGCAAAAAGTTCCAGGATATACCATGAAACCCTATGAAGAACATAATAATCCTAAGCAAACAAACCAAACTGACCAATATCATCTCTTCATCTTCATCACCATCCTCTTCCTCAAAAGGAATTGAAGCAGCAGTTATTGATGCATTGTCAGTTAAACTCCCATGTTCCTCTGCCGCAATAGATGCTGCCAACCTAAATTAACTTGTCAAAACAATAAAACAGAGCACTGAAAGCAGATAAATTAAATTTTCCTTATAACTCAACTGCCTATGCAGCTTACATCTCATCAAGCTTTTCACAATCATTACTCTTCGATGCAACATGACTTCTTTCCTCATTACTTCCCACCAAATCTGTTTGATCTAGGTCGTCATCATATAAAATCTTCTTGCCCTTAACATCATGCTCCTGCTTCTAAATCAGAAACATTTGACTTGCATCAATACATACCATTAGAAAAAAGTAACAATAATAATGCCAAGAACCTGATTGCTTAAAAACCAGTCCTCTTGAAAGCCAAAATTAAATACACATGGATACTCACCTGAACAAGTAGACGCATTGATGGTGGCAAAGCTGCTATAACAGCTGGATCAACATTCCCATCCATTATTGGCTGCAAAACAAGATGAAGTGATCATTACATCCTAAGTTGAAAGTCACTAAGTCTAGGCTGCAAAACATGAGAAAATAATCATTACGTTTGGATACACAAGTCAAGAAGTTTCATAAAAATACTAAACATATAAGACCCATTATACCACAAAGCGAAAGAGAAGGCTATTTCACAAAAGGAGAGTTAAGGTAAGAGAGGAATGTTAGTTTAGTCTAAAGTAAAGTCATATTATTCTTTCAAGTTTAATTGGGGTGAGGAAAAATCCTATAGTATGCTTAAACTTTAATTTGTTCCTAAACTTCCAAGAATTTACATCTCTAAATACCATGCTCATTGTCAAAGAATTACAAAAATCAATACCACAAATTACACCAAAATAACAACTGTAATTTAAAATTGTACAGACTTACCATCATCATCTCTTCGTCTTCATCACCATCTTCCTGAAAGAGATTTGCAGTAGCTGATGCTGCCAGCCTAAATTAAGACATCATAAATAAATAAAATAAAATGCCATACAGTGAATAACAAAAAAAAAAAAAAAAAAAAAAAAAAAAAAAAAAAAAAAAAAAAAAAAATCATGAGAACTACAATAGAGCAAGCAGCTTACATTGCATCTCGATTTCCCTTGTTGCTAGAAGCCAAAGCCGCATCATTTTTTCCCAGACTTCTCCAAGTGACAGCTATTTGGTCGGACAAAATCTTCTCGCCCTTAGATGCATTATTCTGCTTCTTTCTTTGATCCTCAAGATCTTTTGCCAATTCTTTCAACCTCATTGTCTTGAGCTATTAGTAAGAATCAAACACAAACACAACTCAAACCAAAACTGAATTATGCTTAAATTCTCGAACCACAAACACAAAGAACAGCAATCTAGCACTTGAATGCAACAAATGCATTTGTCCATCTCCAATAACTCTGTTCTGTTCATTTTCTGGATCCAAAATTACATTAAATTCAGTTCAGTCTCCTTCTCCAAACACAGAGTATATGCAGAAATTTTATCACTACACTAAGTAAATCAAACTATAATAATAATAATAATAATAATAATAATAGTAAAACAGCCAGAAAAAGACAGCTAACCATAACATAAACACAAAACCTGAACTACTGTCTTACTAGAACGTAAAAGATTATTAAATAAATAATAGTTACATGATTAATCAGCAATTTCTCAGCAGTTTTACGGATTTTAGCCTGGGCGTTCTCACGTTGCCTCCGGCGAGCAATGACTGTGCGGCGCTTGAGCGCCGGTGTTCCTCCATCGAAGACAAAAACTGGTTTTGTCTTCAGAAACAATAATTTACAAATTCGGCGAAAAAAGCCTATCAAATGTGCGTTCCGCACCATCTCTCCCTTCTCGTCTCTCATAGCCTTCATGAACTGGACCATCCATATGCTCGCGTCTGTAGAAAAAAATAAAGAAAATATAAAGTGTATAAAAACAATAATAATTTACAAGTCAAGAATGTTAGGGTTTGAGGTTACCAATGGCGAGTCTTTTTCCGGCAAGGGTTTCGACGGAAACGCGGCGGCCAACGGGAGCCAGTAGGTCCCAAAGACCGTGAACTCCCATTCCTGTTCGGTAGCTTCTTGTTGAAGAATATTCGTAAAATCCAAATTACACTGATTCGACGAGTTGCTGCCGGCGAGAGGTCGCTTCATATATATATATATATATATATATATATATATTAAGAACCCAAAATTTTAAAAACTTTGTAAAATATTACCCACCATTATTAGTATTCCCAAAAAAGTTAAACAGTAGAATATCATTATTCCCAAAATATTATTCTATATTTTTTAATTTCTTTTAAACCTCTTAAATTTATTAATTTAACTAAACATCTCCCAAATATTTTTTTAGAAATTGAAAAAATACTCCGGCCATCCTCCGACGGTGGTGGCCGGTTGTCTGTATTTAATGGGTGGGTTGGAGGTGTTTTTGTTAACTTTTAATATTTTATTATAAGGGTGTTTAGTAAATAAATAAATATAGGAGATATTTTTATTAATTTCCAAATCATACATCGTAATACCCATTCAATTTAACTTTTTTCAAAAAATATTCTAAAAACTATTAAAATAATGAACCAAAACGGAGCATATATTTTTTCTACGGTAAAATTCTAGTCGCCATTTTTGTATCCATCTATTTCTTTATCTAGGGTGAAATTCCAATAGCCTTTTTTTTTATCTAAAGTGAAATCTCAATGCATTTATTTAATTTTTTTTTTACATGCTCTTTTACTCATCAGCCTTGGCAATGGCATACCTCATAGTATCAACGACGTTGCCTTTTTATTTTTACTTTTTTTCACACAAAAAAAAAAAAAAAACTAAAATGACAAAAGATAAAAGGAAAATTTAAAAAAACAAGGGAAATTATATTAAGATTTAGGTGATGTTTGTTAATTTGTCTATGTTGTGTGTGATTTTTCCATTAAGCTCGGAGAAATCGGAATCCCGCGAAGATATAGTTCGACCCAAAATCAGTTCGGCTTAACATTTGTCTGACCCAATATAAGCTCATCGAGCTATAGCTTGACCCAGCATAAATTAGTCGCGACTGAATCTATAAATTGTTCGACAAATCACAAATAAGCTCAAATCCCGGATATTTCAGAAAAGATCAAATCAATAGCAGTTATGGTGCGATTTTAGCGCACAATCCTGAGAATATCGAAATTGCCATTCAAATGTGATTGCAATCCCGATAATTTATCTCTTTCCTTGTTTACGAACTTGTATATAAACCTCCTGCAAGGATGGGAGAGATGTTAGCAAATTGTTCTAGGCATTAATATATTTCTTGTAGGCTTTCTAAAGCAATAAGAAAAACAGTGGATGTAGGCTTAAATTCTAACTTGCCGAACCACTTTAAAAATTGATTGTGTTCTTTACATTCACGCATTTTTTACATACATTTGCTGATTTTCATTAAATCACCCACACAGTTATTCCGATTTCACCAAGGTCAATTGGATCACTCGGTACAAGTTTTCATATCAACATTTTGGCGTTAAAGGAAGGGCTTGAAGACTCCAAGCTCTCTATGTTTTCTAGTAGTTTCTTTTCCATCTTCCAACTGCAAAAAACCATCCATGGCTACAACCCATGTCACCAAATCCAACTCTAGAATTGAAGCCACTGCTAGATGGGGAGTATTGAGTGCGATAAAGTATGAGTATAGGGAAATGGTAGACATAAGAGTTGCAGATCTTCAAGTAAGTTTTCCAATGATGCAAGAATCGTCTAAATCCGAGGTCTACAGCTTAAGTTATTGTCAAATTACTGAAGCATGTTTCAAACTCGTCATAACTCGTTAATGAGAGCGCGAACTCACCATAACTCGTTAATGAGAGTGCGAGCTCGCCATAACTCGCAAATATGAGCACGAACCCGCCATAACTCATTAATGAGAGTGCGAATTCGCCATAACTCGCTAATGAGAGCGCGAACTCGCCACAACTCTCTAATGAGAGCGCGAACTCGCCATAACTCGTTAATGAGAGAGCAAACTCGCCATAACTCATTAATGAGAGTGCGAACTCAAGCATGATAAAGTCTGAATATAGCAAAATGTTAAGCATAAGAGTTGTAGCCCTTCGATTAAGCTTTCCAATGGTCTAATCGTCCAAATCCAAGGTTTCCAACTCAAGTTACTGTCAAATTACTAAAGTATGTTCCAAACTCGCCATAACTCGTTAATGAGAGTACGAACTAGCCATAACTCATAAATGAGAGAGTGAACCCGCCATAACTCATTAATGAGAGTGCGAACCCACCATAACTTGTTAATAAGAGTGCGAACTCACCATAACTCGTTAATGAGAGTGCAAATTCAAGCATGATACAATCTGAATATGGCAAAATGTTAAACAAATGAGTTGTAGCCCTTTGAGTAAACTTTCCAATAGTTCAAGAATTGTCCAAATCCGAGGTCTACAACTTAAGTTATCATTAAAATACTGAGGTATGTTCCAAACTCGTTAACAAAAGTGCAAAAGCTTGTCATTTCAGAGCTCATCATTTTAGAGCTTGTTTTAAGAGCTCATTGTTTTAGAGTTCATTTTGAGAACTTGTCGTTGTAGAGCTTGTTTTAAGAGCTTGTCGTTGTAGAGCTTGTTTTGAGAGCTTGTCGTTTTAGAGCTCGTCCTTTTAGAGTTCGTTTCAAGAGCTCATCCTTTTAGAGTTCATTTCAATAGCTTGTTGTTTTAGAGCTCGTTTTGAAAGCTTGTTGTTTTAGAGCTCGTTTTTAGTGCCCATCGTTTTGAAGCTCGTTTTGAGAGCTTGTCATTCTAGAGCTCATTTTGAGAGCTTGTCGTTTTATAGCTCATCATTTTGTAGCTCGTCATTTCAGAGCTCGCCATTTTGTGGCTTGCCATTTCAGAGCTTGCCATTTTGTAGCTCATCATTTTAGAGCTTGCCATTTTGCAACTTATCATTTCAAAGCTTGCCATTTTGTAGCTCGTCATTTTAGAGCTCGTTTTCAAAGCTTGTTTTAAGAGCTTATGTTGTAGAGCTTGTCGTTTCAGAGCTCATTTTTAGAGCTCGTTGTTCCTGAGGTTGTTGTGTTTGAAGTTCATAGTTTTTTAAGTCCGAAATCGCACTCCAAAAACTAGGGGGCTATTGTTGTGTGGGAAATCCAGAGAGGATAATTCCCTATTAGGAGAGAAGATATTTAGATTTACTCGATTTGGAAGGAAGATATTCAGATTGACTTAGATTCCAACTAAGGTAGCCAAAGATCGTGCAACTTCCTAATCCTACGTATTTAAATCTTATCTCAACTCTATCATGTAAATGGGTGCTATATAAACCCATCATAACTTGTTTTCAGGGGGGTTGGGCAATTGTTCTAGGAAAAAATTCATCATTTATAATTCTCATTCAATAACAGAAACAATGGACGTAGGCTCAAGATTCAAACTTGCCGAACCATTTTAAAAGTTGCCTCTTGTCATCATTCATTTTTGCTCTTTAATTATTCAATTGTTGATTTTCATTAAATTACGTACACATCTATTCCGATTCCACCAAGGTCAATCGGATCACTCAAGTTGGTACAAGTTTTCACTAAGGAGAAGTGCCACCAATTCCCTCACCACAACTATGATGCAATTGTAATCGCAGCAAGAATTGATAATGCCCAAGTCTTTTAGGTAATGGTAGACAATAGCAGTGCAGCAAACATCATTTTCTTGGGAGCTTTCCAAGAAATGAGGTTTATCGAGCGGGATTTAAGAGCACGTCAGTCGCCGCTATACAAATTCACCGAGGACAGTCTGGTCCCGAAGGGAACAATCGAGCTACCCATGACTGTTGAGGATAAGCCTCAGAGAAGAATGGTGATGGAAAAATTCTTAGTGGTCGATTGTTCGACTACCTACAACGTCATCTTAGGTAGGCCATTCCTTAACAAACTGAGCGCAGTCACTCCTGTGCAATGTCAGGCCATAAAGTTCTCGACCTCGGACAGAATCGGAGTTATAAGTTGTAAGAAAGACTCAAGGGAGTGTTATAATCAGGCTATTCATGCTGCACAAAAATGGGCACTCTCGAGGACCATGATCATTGTTGAGTACGAGCCACCAAAGTTGGAGGATACCATAGATCCTCGCATTAATAAAGAAGAGACTGTGGTAGAGCTGACAGAAGAGCTACGAGAAATACCTATCAGCGAGGAAGACCTACTCGCGTTCTGAAAATCGAGAGCAGTCTAAGCGACGAGTTGGCAAATAGTTTGGTAGGTTTCCTAAAGCAAAACCTTTGCCTAGGTATATGAAGATATGGTAGGGATCAGCTCTGAAGTCATGTGCCATAAATTGAATGTCGATCCAAAGGCTCGCCCAATTAGGGAAAAAAAAAAGATATATGGATGTTGAGCAATCAAAAGCGCTCAAGGATGAAGTTGATAAGCTCTTGAACACCAACTTTATTCAGGAATTGAAGTACTTGGACTGGCTTGCCAACCCAAATTTAGTAAAAAAGTCGAATGGCAAGTGGCGGACTTGGGTCAAGTTCACTGATTTGAACAAAGCCTATCCCAAAGAAAGCTTTCTGCTACCTCGGATCGACCAATTAGTAGATGCAACAACAAGGAATGCACTATTAAGCTTCATGGGTGTCTACTTGCGATATAATCAAATCCCGATGTATCAGCCCAATGAAGAACATACCTCTTTTATTATTGACTGGGGTATTTATTGTTACATAGTTATGTCGTTCGACTTGAAGAACGCTGAGGCGACCTACCAACATTTAGTGAATCAAATGTTCGCCAAATAGATCGACAAAACTATGGAGGTATATATCGACGACATGTTCGTCAAATCAAAGATCATCGAAAGTTACATCAAGCACCTAGGGGAAATGTTCAATATCCTTAAGAAGTACCGAATGCGGCTGAACCCCTTGAAATGCGCTTTCAGAGTAAGCTCAGGGAAGTTTTTGGGTTTCCTTGTAAATCAGGGAGGTGTTGAAGCCAACCTAGATAAGATTCAAGCTCTCCTAAACATGCACAGTTTGACTAAAATAAAACAGGTTCAAAGTTTGACAGGGTGAATGGCCGCATTAAGCAAGTTTATTTCTCGAGCTATTGACAGATGCATGTCTTTCTTTGAGACCCTAAAGGGCAACAAGGGTTT